AAAAAAAAAAAAAAAAAAAGACGATACAGGAATGTGTACTTTAAGAACAGTGCGGGCCAGTGGAAAGAAGTCCCAGGGTAGCAGCTATGCAGCAGGCTTTGACAGAAGATCCAAGAAAAATGGCTTCAAAAAGAGTGAGATGAATTCCACAGAATAGATAAGGATATATTTTTCTTAATAAAAGAATGTTTATTGGAAACATGAGGGGTACTAGACAGCTAGAAAAAAATCATGGTGTACATAGGAAATATTTAAAGAAGTTCAAGTAGTTGATGGAATATAAGAAAAGAGAACCCACTCTGGAAACATTCTCACTTTTTATGTGTATGAGTGACCGCAAAGGTCATGTAGTCTTAGAAAATGAAATGTGAGCCCAGGTCTGGAACTAGAAATGTTTACATGTGCAGACACTTACATAACTTGTATTGGTTTTCAATTGTTAAACACATCCTAAAGAGGAACACAGAGGCTTTCTGTAACTATAAAAAGTTGACAGAACAAGAAGTTTAGGCATGTTATTTAAAGTGACATAGGTAACCAAAGAAAAACCTAAAATAACATAACAACAAACCTTGATGGTGTTGGGGATTTTAAGTAAGTGGCTCATCCTCAGTTTTTATTGTGGGGAGTAAATAGTTCTTTCTAAAGTTGACAAATGAAAAAGTGATGCTAAAAATATGCTTTTTGGAGTTAAAAAGTGATCAAGAACCAAAACTGTGAATAATTGAAGGTCATTGCTCTTGGAATTGGAACCAGGAATGGAAAAGCATGTGTTCACTTAGGTGCTTACAACTGGTCCCTCTGGCTCATTTTGGACCAAACATATACTGGGAAATAAAAACTATATGTCTATCACATGCTGCCTACTTGGGTGGGGTTTTTTTGTTGTTGTTTTGGTACCGGTGATCAAACTTGGGACCTTGCAGTTGTGAGGTAGGCAGCAGAACCACTGAGCTAAATCCCTGGCCCTCACATGCTCCTTATTGTTTTGAAATAGATACACATTATTGAATAGCTAAAGTTAATTAGCATATTCATTTCCTCCCTTTTTTGTGGTGAGTACTTAAAATTGATTCTCAGCAATTTTTAAGAATACAGCACAGGGGTGAGGATTTAGCTCAGTGATTCTGCTGCCTCCCTCACAAGCACAATGTCCCGAGTTTAATCCCAGGTACCAAAAACAGAAAAGAATACAATGCAGTGTCATGAACTGTAATCACCATGTACAGTAGAACACTTGAACTTTCTCATTTCTCCTTTCTAACTGAAGTTTTGACCAAAAACTTAAAAAGATGTGTCTGTGTACATGTATGTTGATGATTTGTTTCACAGGTACATTTATCTTCAGTATTTTATGACTCATGTCTGGTACATTTGCATATTGAGTACAGATGTATGTATAGTCTGAACCAAATTAAAGAAAAGACAATCACAAAAAGTACTATTTCTAATCATTCTTCACTGAACTAAGTGGACAGCCTTCAATTTAAAAATTGTTGAATTAGACTTATCTGACCCAAAAGCATTATTAATAGAAAAGAATGTGTAACCAATGTTATAAACCTAGTAGAATAAATAAATGGATGCAATATTTAAAATGGTGCCTACTTCTCAGGTGGTCTTTAGTAGTTTTTAATCTGATGAGTAGTAGTCAAAAATAATAAAGCTAATAATATTGTTAATGGGAGTTTGATATCTGAAAATATATGGTCGGGCTACTCAATTTTTCATGTTTATTTTCTGGAGTAAAATGAACTACATTTTATGACAGAAATTTTTATCAGATGCTGGAAACACAGGCTCTAGATTTTATTTTTACTATAGTAAGAGGCAGTATTAATAGCCAAGATGTGTGTATGTGTGTATAATATCCTCAAGATACATGGCAGTTACTTTAGGAATTTTGTGTCTTGAGGATTTACCTTGAGCTAAGAATTTTTCATCTTGGAAAAACACATTCACTCAAAGGTAGATTTATTGGTTTATTTTCAGTAATTCAACTCTTTCCTCTGCTATAACTCCAATGAATTTTTTCTATTTCTTATTTAAACTAGGGATTTCGTTTCTTGATGTCTTATGTGCTGTGTTAAATTACCTGATTCTGAAAACAGTAATCTCAACTAAGATAATAAAAGTGCAGTTGCAAAGCATCTCTGAGTTCCTTCCTAGCTACATCTTAGGCGTCTGTGCCCCCACAGAGGAGTTAGCGCCGATCTGAGCCATCTTGCCTGGCCCTTTGAGTGTGCAAGTACTGTGCCTTGACTGAAACAAGCACAAAGATTTTCCTTGTTGTTCGCTTTTTAAAAGATAGTACATTTAATGTATAGTCTGCATTGCTATTTTTCCAAAACTGTTCTAATGAGTTGCTTATTGTATTTCCTGATTATAGTGCTGCTTTTGATACAGTTCTTGGGATTAATGTTGCAGTCAAGAAACTAAGCCGTCCTTTTCAAAATCAAACTCATGCAAAGAGAGCTTATCGTGAACTTGTCCTCTTAAAATGTGTCAATCATAAAAATGTAAGTTATATCTAAGTTTTCTTCATATGCTTTTTGTTAATGTTGTGATGATCTTCAGGGTCTTTTTGACATGCATTTTCAGACCAGGGATAAAATGATGATAACTCTGACTTTATTTATTTAGTGGTGCTGGGGACTGAATCAAAGGCCTTCACCTTGAGCTACATCTCACCCCTTTTTATATTTTATTTTATTTTTGTATCGTCTAAGGTAAGCCCACACCAAGTTGCCCAGACTGAGGTCGAGCTTGTGATCTTTTTGCCTCAGCCTCCCAGATTGTTGGGATTAAAACACTGGGAAAATTGAAGTTAGAAAGATGCATTGTGTTCCAGAGGAATTTAGGTCACTCAGATAAGGTAGAAATTCTAATTTAATCCTATGGCTATTTGATTATTTGTTTTTCTAAAATTAGAACAAATATATTTCTGTTTTTATTAAATGAGAACAAATATTAATAAATTAAAAAACAATTAAATATTTTTTGGAAAAAAGTTGTATATGTAGCTTTTGCTTTGTGTATAGACATCTCAGTTTTACTTAAATACATGTTATTAGATGATGTTTCATTCAGGATAGCTATACTTTTGCATAGTACTAGGCCACTAAATTTTTAGTGGAATTAGTAATATGTCTCTAGAAAATGATGTTTTTCTCGAATAGTACCATATGTCTTACTAGTGGTCTCTAAACATAATGTAGGAACCCTTGCCTTATGGTAAAATCACAAAATGTGAAATCTGGAAGAGGTTTTGAAAATCAGTTCATGAAGCCCCCACGCTTGGAAGAAGAAAGAATGTTTAAAATTACACTGCACTATATATTATTCCCTTTGTTTTACATTTTTGCTGAATCTTTTTAGGATAGGGATTTAAATATGAAATTGATGGATTTGTTTTGAGTCTGTGGTTTGGATTAGTTTTGATTTTTCCAATGCATGCTTTATTTTTAAATTTTTTAGTTTATAAAAATATTTTTTAAAATTTCAAACTGTACATCTAAGAAAGCAAAACTCCTTAAGTCCCTCTACCCACAATTCACTAGCATTGAGATTTTAGTGAGCATTTTTATGTATATTGTACCCATATATATAAACAAAATCAATCATCCCGCTTCTTCTGCTGGTAGATACTTTAATAACCATAGATACAATCCATTTTTAAATGGTTGCATAATACAGATTCACAATCATTTATTTAACAAGTTACTGTTGTTGGATGGATTCTTTCCAGTGTTTTGCTGTTATAAACATGGTGCAATGAAGACCCTTACACATGAATATTTGCACATTTGTCCAGGTAAATTCTTACTCTGCAAGGAATCTCAACACTCTGGTTTCGTATAGGCTGACAGGTTTACCTCAGTGAAGACCATCAGTTTCATACTTTCATGAAAAGTGTCTGAAAATATCTTTAACTTCAGAATCTTCCAACACTACATTTTGCTGATTTTTTTTTTACCAATCCGATAGATAACATATATCTTTTGTGAAGTTGAATTTCCATGTATTCATTAGTGATTTATTTTTACATTATTAATAATTTGATTTTCATGGTCTTTGTCTATTTTTTTCTTGGACTGCTGTTCTCATGTATTTATTGGAAGCTTTTATATAGTAGAGCAATCAACTTTTAAAATTTCACATTATTTATGTTGCTTTTGCCATACTAATTTTTTTTTCTGTGTCTTGTTAGTTTAGTTTTAATGTAATCAAATATCCTAGTTTTCCTGTCATGCCAAGAAAAGATTTTTCTATATCAGGATTTCATAAACATTTATCTCTATTTTAGTTTTTATAGTTCTGAGTTTTAGATTTAAATCTTTGTTTCGTTTTTCATATATCCCGGCATAAAGATTGCAGTATGAATACAACACTAATTTCTCCTGTGCCTAGCCAATCACCCCAGTCCTATACAGTGAACAGTTCAGCTTTCCCGGGTCCTTTGAAATGGCCGAGGATGTATGTTTGTGAGTCAAAGTGAGCCTCCTTTTTACAACCATGAAGGCTAGGAGGGAGACCTATAGCCTGGTCAGCTTTCTGAGCCCTCTTTAAGTAAACATTGTAATGCTATGAGGCAATTTTTCTTCTTCTTTTTTTTTTTTTTTAATGTACCTGGGATCAAACTCAGATCTTTGCGCTTGCAAGGCAGGCGGCAGAACCACTGAGCTAAATCCCTAGCCCCAAGACAATTCTTCTTTATAATATCAAAAAACACTAGTTTAGCCTTCATATTTCTAAGCTGTTTTAGAAATTTGTATAATTCAAGTTTTCAGAGTTAACATATTAGTTGAATTAATTTTTACACATGTACTTTTTATTTTACATTCAGAGCCAAAAAGACATTGCATTTTAATTTTGTTATAATAATGTAATAGGGACATATAAAAGTGGTTGATTAAAAACGCATCTTTAAAACAAAGTGCATCATATTTTTAATTGATGTTTAACTTTTTTCAAATGCCATGTAGTGGAATGTTTTGATAAAAGCCATAAAGATAATAAATACTGAGCTCTGCTGTGAGTTTTTTCTAGTTTTAATACTTTTTAATGTTGAACTTAACTGTTAAAATCAAGTAGAGTCTGGGCCAGGGATTTAGCTCCACCTGCCTTGCAAGTGCAAGGACCCGAGTTCAATCCTTGGTACCAAACACAAAAAAAAATCAAGTAGAGTCATCTGACATACTGAGGCATAATTAATTTTCTCTTTTCAGATCATTAGTTTGTTAAATGTGTTCACACCACAAAAAACTCTAGAAGAATTTCAAGATGTGTAAGTATCACTTTTATTCAGCAGTGTTCTATGCATCAATGACAAAATTTAGAACAGAAAATAAATACTTTTCATACTGAGGAAATGTAGGTGACCATCCATTTCTAATTGGATCATGGATACTACAAAACTGATGAGGCGCAGTGGCATTCTGCTCCTGTGTGCTTAGAGGGCTGCCTTCTGCCTGCCTGTTAAAGGGCAGATGGAGACCATTAACGCTGAGCCCTGTTTTACTGAACTGTAAAAAGCTGTTCTCCAGTCACTCATTGTTAGGACTTCAGGGTTCAGGTATTTACAAGCGTTATTAAACTATTGTATCATTATTATATCATTAAACAGTGTGTATTTCCAGACCTTTTTTTTTTTTTTTTTTTTTTTTTTTTTTTTTTTT